TTCTGTGGCGGAAACAAGCTTTCATACAATTCAGGTTTTGACAATGTGAGAATGAGAAAACTTTCAATTAAGAAGATAAAGGGAACAATTGCACGTACACTCTGAGCCCTTGTAGATCCCACCTGGGTTCTTGCCTGGGTGGCGGGGGCTTCTGTGACTGGGTTTGGGAAGAGTAGTTTGGGTGAGAGCACATGTTGCTGCTGAGTGCTGGGCTTTTTTGATACTGGTCCCCTCTGCATCCCAGTGCTGATCCCCCAGAGTTAACCGCACTGAGAAAATCTGACCAACACACCACAACATCAGAAAGTTCAGGCAGGTGGGAAGAGATGGTTTTGTGTGTTTGTGTATACAGTAAAGCGCCAAGTCTTACCTTGGAGTGGGCTGGTCCTTGTTCACTGAGTAGCTTGTATTCAGGTTGGATCTTATTGTAACGGGCTAACTCATTTACCAGACACATAGGAGTTTTCTCTTTAGGGTTTGCCATGTTAGATACTAGAGGACAACATTAAAAGATTAAATCAAGAAGGAAATATTTTAAAACTGTTTAACAATCCAAGAAATTATTTTTCTTATCAGGGCATAGCTAGGCCCAGATTATTCGAAAGTTCGGGGTCAGTAAATTTATTTATTTATTTTTTATGTTTTTGAAAAAGACTCTTATGCTCACCAAGGCTGCAATTATTTGATAAAAATAGAGCAAAACCGTAACACTGTGAAATATTATTGCAGTTTAAAAGAACTATTTTCCATTTTAATATATTTTAAAATATAATTTATTCCTGTGATGCAAAGCTGAATTTTCAGCATCATTACTCCAGTCTTCAGTGTCACATGATACTTCAGAAATCATTCTAATATGCTGATTTGCTGCTCAAGAAACATTTCTTATCATTCATGTTGATAACAGTTGTGCTGCTTAATATTTTTAGTGAACATTAAGTTAAAAAGAACAGCATTTATTTGAAATAGAAATATTTTGTAATAAGATCAATAATATGCATCCTGGCTGAATAAAAATGTTAATTTTAATCATTAATTTTTTCAGCATGTTTGAGATAAAAAGACAATTTTTATACCATTGTTATCAGATTTTATTGCCAATTTTGTTACTGATATTGAAAACAGTTGTGCTGCTTAATATTTTTGGTGATAGGAAGGAAGTTTAAAAAGTATTTATTTGAAATAGACATATTTTGCATTTACTGTCAAGTTTGATAAATGTTATGCATTCTTGCTGAATAAAAATATTAATTTCTTTAAAAAAAAAAAAAATCTTAACGACCACAAATTTTGAATGGTAGTGTATTTTTTTTCAGCATGTTCGGAGATAAAAATTATTTTTTTATACCATTGTTATCAGATTTTATTGCTGAATTGAAATATGTTATTAAGAACGTTCCATATGAGATTTCTATATGGGCCTGGGCATAACTGAAGAATTCGAATGCATGAATTGTCATGTCCTAGATGATGCTTTTTGTCTAAAAATGCTCAGAGCAATGTTTCACCCACCTGTGGGGTTGCAGAAGGGTGTGGCGGAGGCGGAAGGCAGGGCGGAGTTTCGGAGCGGGTGACTGGCACTCTCTGAGGGTAAGGGAGCAGTGGCACAGGGAATGCTGAACCCAGGTTGGGGTGGGGCCAGCTGTAAAGGGGTAGCACTGGGTGCAGGGTTGCCAGGCGCCTGAAACTGAAGCTGTGACATTCTGATTGGCTGGTAGGAAGGTGGGTTGTTTGAATGACCTGGTATAGACTTTGCAGTCAGGTAGGAAGAGAACTTCACAAAGAAGGGTTGTACGTGAAAGAGAGAGAACGACACAGTGAGAGTTTGTAGAATGAAGGACGACTGCAAAGCTCAACCTGCAGAGAAGAAAAATGAAAAGGATTATTATTAGTTATCATAGCTATACTGAAAAAAAATATCTGTGACTTTTACGGTAAAATACCGGCAGCTGTGGTTGCCAGAACTTCACCGTAAAAAATATGGTAGCAACATTTTAGGTTTTACAGACTTAACTTAAATTCACAATAAAACACCGTATTTCATTAACTGATGTAATGTTAATAAACCAACATATCGAAGTACTAATATCTGTTTTGAACCATTGTAATGCACTGATAAACACCAAAAACAGGTGGTGATGAGAAAGTCACATGATGAACCAAAGCTCATCACAAACAGCTTTTCTACGAGCTGAGGAGGGCAATACTTATATATAGATATATAAGGTTTATTGGTTCATTAAAAGCGAAATTACACAACAACTGTTAAAATCACAATCATATGCTTAAGTAACCAAAAGATCAATCTTTGCATTTCCAAAAAAGAAAATACCAGTGCTAAAGCAAAAGAATGATGTTAAAGGGTTAGCTCACCCAAAAATGAAAATTCTGTCATTAATTACTCACCCTCATGT